TTAAAAAAGAGTTCATTATATTGAACTGGTATATAAGAATCTTTAGAAGTAAAATATAACTATATGTGTGTATACATAAATAAAAAATTCAACATATGCATCTGATTAAGCTTTATTTTTTGTAAGCTGGAATCGAAATATAGTCCTATGCAATGATAAATATTATTTAAAATATGCTTCCAAAATCATCTTTTTAGAACACATTTCACACTAAAGACTAATAAAAGGTAAATTCACTTACTTCTAGGACCCTGCTGGCAATTGTTGGGCTGCTTACCACAAGGTCAGCAGGGCAACCCCATCAGCCACTCTGCAGGAGAAAGGGGAGGCAGTCTGCTCCATCCTCAGAAACCCTCTTCTGCCCCAGAGGGTCATCTTGGGTCAAAATCTACTTAATGCTAGTGGTTTCTATTTTTCTATTTTAATTTTTCACATGTTAGGAAGATCTATTCCAGAGAATTAAATCAAACTAGAAGGTTTATAGATTATTTATATTTTCTTACTCATTCAATTAGCAATTTTTATACTATATATAGTATTCATTTAGCAAATTTTGGTGGAGACATGTTTTTGAAGAAAAAATATCTCAGTAGTCTTCATTTTCCCTTAACCTTATTAGTGGTTTTGGCAGATGCTTCTTTATTAGATATACATGGAATATGAAAGTAAAGAAAAGAAATTGTTTAAAAGGTATTAGAAAACAAATTGTTTCACAGCTATTATCACAAAGGCCTCTTTTTTATGGAATACTTCACGAATTTGCATGTCATCCTTGTGCAGGGGCCATGCTAATCTCTGTATCGCTCCAATTTTAGTATATGTGCTGCTGAATTGAGCACAAAGGCATCTTATGATCATCTAAATGTAAAATGTACATTAGAAAAACAAGAATCAGCATATTTTAAATATACAATATGTTCTTAGAAATATAGTTTCAGCCTCTCCCTCAGCCCCCATCCAATGGCCCCATCAATCAACTGCCAACGATTGCTTTTGAAAAATGTATGAAGCTCATACACGCTCCTTCAACTTCTTCCTATGTGTATATTTAGCACTTGATTTAGGGTCCAGGGCCCCAACTTACCCATTCTTCGGTTAAGCTGAGCTGAGCTGTGAGGACCACTGAAGTTTGAAGAACTGGTAAAAGCCATTGGAGGGAGCATGGGTGCTATTGGGTCATCACAGTTGTCTAAAACGATAGGAGAGAGAACCAAATTCTATTAGCAAGAGAACTTGAAGAATGAACTCATTATATTAACTCCATTCATTTATTAACCAGTCTGTCTGAACAAGGTTATGTATTGTGGATTTATAAGTATTATTTCATCTACAGCTCACAGCAATCCTGATGGAGAAGTATAATTTCCTATTACAAACTGGGAAACTGGAGTTGTAAAGTAGATTGAGTTGTCAAGTAAACTGAAATGTAGATTATGCAATTAGATTGTCCAAGATCACTACATTAGAAAATACTGTAATAAGAATTCTCCTCCAGATTTGTCTGCAATGGAAGACCAATTATAACATCCATCTCTGTAACGTACCACCTATGCAAACCTTAACTTACTATGTATTGAGCTAATTCTATTAAAAGGGAGATCAATTAAAGGCAGTAAAAATTGTTCAGTTATTCCCCACTCTCTAATCCCAAGGTGATCATTGTATCTCAAGAGATAAAATAATTGAGAATGTCTCACTTTCAAGTGTATGAAAACTTGTGAAAACAAGCTACTAATTATAGAGATCAATTTTTATTCCTGGAAAATTAGTTACTGATTCATTTGTATTTACAAAGTGGTAGAAAGTATTCCTAGAGTTTATATAATCTTTTTTTTTCTTTTTTAACATTTTATTAGGGGCTCATACAACTGTTATCCCAATCCATACACACATCAATTGTGTAAAGCGCATTTGTACATCGTTT